TACAGGTACCGCTGTACCAAAATGTCTGTGATTACAGGTGCCGCTGTATCAAGGTGTCTGTGATCACAGGTGCCACTGTACCAAGGTGTCTGCGAGTACAGGTTCCACTGTACCGAGGCGTCTGTGATCACAGGTGCCGCTGTACCGAGGCGTCTGGGATCAAAGATGCCACTGTAAATGGGCGTCTGTGATCATAAAATCTGCAGAAGTCACGCGTCTGTGATCACAGACGCTGCTGAAGCGAGGTGTCAGTTATCACACGAGCCGCCTGACAGACGCTTCTGTAATCAATAGATGCCACCGTGACACGAGTTCCGTTATCACAGACGCTGCTGAAGCGAGGTGTCAGTTATCACACGAGCCGCCTGACAGACGTTTCTGTAATCAATAGATGCCACCGTGACACGAGTTCCGTGATCACAGACGCAACTCCACCGTGTTTTAATGTTGTTTTTTAATGTCATTGTTGTTTGATGCTGCTCCATGAGTCACGATGGTGTAATTCTTTAACATGTAACTCCACACATGCTTGACTTTCACTAATTGCTAATTATCTTTCCCAGTTTTATTTCTTCGAACGAACATAGTGATCGTAGTGGTGGTGCTGAGCCTCATAATTTGGATCCCGGCTGCCTGCATTTTCTCCCGCTTGGTGAGTCTCATCTTTGATGATGCCTATGCCTCAATATCGGCATCCAATGTTCCCTTTAAGCTGTGCCGCTGCGCGTCCGCGCAGTAATCTCACAGACGCCGCGCAGCTGTTTTTGAGTACCGCGCAGCTAATTTCCACTTAAGTGTGTGTAATGTGTCTGTAGGCTGTAAAATTTTGCGCACAAAAAAATTGATGCTGTAAAAATTTGAACACAACTTTATGATTTTGCACACGAACTAACAAATTAAAAAGGGAACATTGTCGGCAACCGGCAACAATTTTCTTTCTTCTTTTTTTTTTTGGTTCTCAAAATTCTTTTTGTATTTCATCTCTTAATTTTTGTTAGTTCTCCTTCTACAGATATGTAAAGTAATGGGAAAAAAATTTAGCAAGGTGAATTCCTAGACCAAGGGAAAACTTCAAACGGGAAACGTTTTGTCACGTGGATAAAATGTTTCCCGCAGTGAATATTGTACTCTCTGTATCAAAGGAAAGGGGCGTAGGTGGCCGTGTACTACAGGTGTTTTTTTTTTAAATCCAGGGTCGTCATTTTCGGGCAAGTGCAGAGTTTTGGCTTGCAGGACCGTCTATCTCAATGCATTCTACTATATTTAGAGATTTTTGTGTTTGATTTCAGGATAGAAGAGAAGAAGAGGTTGAGCACGAAATAAAGATCGGGGGATCCAGACTGCAACTTAAAACAACCAACACAGACATCGATTTAATGTACAGGTAATGAATGGCCAATAGTGTCAGGGTAAATTTAAGTGTCTTAGAAAACGGTTTAAGCTGAACCCACGACAGATTAACCGTTAGGGGGGGAGGGTGGTGGTGAAGGTGGTGACCTCACCAACAGTTCGAGCCTGACGTAGGGGAATTTACGATGTTTTAAACAAAGGCGGCTAGAAATTGTAGCGACCTCCGTTGCAAACCCTCACATCACTTAGACGCCCATCAATACGTAAATGAAGAACTCTAATTACAATAAAAAATTAAAAAGACACCCCCACCCCCCCTCCAAAAAAACAAAAAAAAACAACGGAAGAAATCAAAACCCATGAAAGGAAGCTAACACAGCAAATTGACTACATTTTCAGATCTGCGGCTAGAAATTGAAACGGCCTGCGATCGACCCCCCTCTTCTCACTGCCACATACATCGATATTTTAAGTTGGACCCATATTAACGAAACAAAAGAAAAACAACAACAACCACAACAAAAATAATCTAACGAAAAGATCGAAGAATTAACCGCAGCGAGCCATAGGGACGGACCACTCATTTATTTTAAACGTTGGTTTATTTTTTCAGGATGCAGAGCGTCCTCTCCATGGAAGAGCCCTCTTACACAGGCCTGGGCTTGTCATTCTCTCAGCGGCTCATTTTCGATCCACATGGGTCCTCAGTGGACCCCAAACGGGAAACCCCGAAGCCAAAAATTATAACGTTCGATGCCGAAACCCAGTTGAACTCCAGGTCCCCGAGGCTGCGCGCTAAGGGAAAGCAGCCGTCGGCAAGGCAGGGGTTGCCGCAAAGGGGACGATTCCAGGGCCAGCCAGATTCACCCAAATACGGAAAACAAGGCAAGCCCGGTCCGGCTACGGGGAAACAACCGGTTAAATCTCCCGGAAAATCGAAGCAGACACCCGGGAATCAAGCGAAACAGGGCTACGGTATTCAGCCCAAACAGTCCCCCAAACAGCGAACTAATCAAACGCCCGGCACTCGACCTAAGCAGATTCAGCAGGGTTACAAGCCTAATCAGATTTCTGGGAATCAACCGAAGCAGATTCTCGGAAACCAGTTCAAACCGGCTCCTGGTAATCAAGCCAAACAGGTTCCAGGAAATAAAACTCACCAGAATTTCGGGAATCAACCAAAACATACTCTTGGGAATCAGACAAATCAAAATACTAGGAATCTATCCACTCTGAATCCTGAGAATCAATCCAATCTGAATCCTGGGAATCAGTCCAATCTATATCCTGGGAATCAGCCCAATCTATATCCTGGGAATCAGTCCAATCTATATCCTGGGAATCAGTCAAATCTGAACCCTGGGAATCAATCCAATCTAGATCCTGGGAATCCGTCCAATCTATATCCTGGGAATCCGTCCAATCGTAATATCCGGGCCACGTTGGATCAAGCTCCCGAGAAACAGTTAACTGGAAAAACTTTTCAACCGCAGGCATTTAGCAAATAACGACTTCAGTAAAAAAAAAATAATCTATATGTAAACGTCTAAGGGGACCATTAACCTTTGAGAGAGGACAAATTAACCTTTTTTTTTTTTTTACGCTTATATAAAAAAGAAACCCGTTTAGAACTTTAGAACTTTAATCTTCCCAAATATTTCATTTTAAAACTCAACCAACTTTCAAACAATCTTGTTCTTGGTGTCTCAGCAGTATTTTCTATCCTATAGAAAAAAAAATAATTCTGTGTTGGGTAATAATTGAATATAAGAGTGTGTTCGAAGTGTTTATATTTCTTTGCATGTATTTATACCATTAAAAATAAATAAATAAATATACGGAACTACTTTCAATTTGCTTGATTATATTTCAAATTTGGTTTAGTAAAGCCTACTGTTGCACAAAACCAGCCAGGCGAAACGGAAATGAGGGGTGTTATTTTTACAATTTTTTCTTCTTCACAAAATAAGTCCATTTGTTTGGGGAAGAGGGCGGATACTTAAACCTCATGTGTGATGTATGCTGAAGAGTGGAGGTGGGGTGCCCCCTGTCCCTTTTTCACTCGACGATTGAGTTTTTTAAAATTAAAAGTGAACTTAGGTGAATAAAAGAAAAGACAAAACAATTTTGGTGTGAATATTACTAGGCACAGTTTAAATATTTGTTTGAATATTATAGGCGCTGTTCAAATTTTAGTTTAAATATAATAGGCGCTGCTAAATTTCAGTTTGAATATTATAGTCACTGTTAAAATTTTAGTTTGAATATTATAGGCACTGTTAAAATTTAGTTAGAATATTATAGGCAATGTTAAAGGTTTAGTTTGAATATTATAGGCTCTGTTAAAATGTTAGTTTAAATATTATAGTCACTGTGATAATTTTAGTTTGAATATTATAGGTATTGTTAAAATGTTATTTTAATTATTATTGGCATTGATAAAATATTAGTTTTAATATTAAAGGAATTATTAAAGCTTTAGTTTTAATATTATAGGCACTGTTAAAATTTTAGTTTGAATATTATAGGCACTGTTAAAGTTTTAGTTTAAATATTATAGGCACTGTTAAAGTTTTAGTTTAAATATTATAGGCACTGTTAAAGTTTTAGTTTAAATATTATAGGCACTGTTAAAGTTTTAGTTTAAATATTATAGGCAATGTTAAAGTTTAGTTTAAATATTATAGACACTGTTAAAGTTTTAGTTTAAATATTATAGGCACTGTTAAAGTTTTAGCTTAAATATTATAGACACTGTTAAAGTTTTAGTTTAAATACTATAGGCACTGTTAAAGTTTTAGTTTAAATATTATAGGCACTGTTAAAGTTTTAGTTTAAATATTATAGACACTGTTAAAGTTTTAGTTTAAATATTATAGGCACTGTTAAAGTTTTAGTTTAAATATTATAGGCACTGTTAAAGTTTTAGCTTAAATATTATAGGCACTGTTAAAGTTTTAGTTTAAATATTATAGGCACTGTTAAAGTTTTAGTTTAAATATTATAGGCTCTGTTAAAGTTTTAGTTTAAATATTATAGGCTCTGTTAAAGTTTTAGTTTAAATATTATAGGCTCTGTTAAAGTTTTAGTTTAAATATTATAGGCTCTGTTAAAATTTTAGTTTGAATATTATAAGCACTGTTAAAATTTTAGTTTAAATATTATAGGCTCTGTTAAAGTTTTAGTTTAAATATTATAGGCACTGTTAAAATTTAGTTAGAATATTATAGACACTGTTAAAGTTTTAGTTTAAATATTATAGGCACTGTTAAAGTTTTAGCTTAAATATTATAGACACTGTTAAAGTTTTAGTTTAAATACTATAGGCACTGTTAAAGTTTTAGTTTAAATATTATAGGCACTGTTAAAGTTTTAGTTTAAATATTATAGACACTGTTAAAGTTTTAGTTTAAATATTATAGGCACTGTTAAAGTTTTAGTTTAAATATTATAGGCACTGTTAAAGTTTTAGCTTAAATATTATAGGCACTGTTAAAGTTTTAGTTTAAATATTATAGGCACTGTTAAAGTTTTAGTTTAAATATTATAGGCTCTGTTAAAGTTTTAGTTTAAATATTATAGGCTCTGTTAAAGTTTTAGTTTAAATATTATAGGCTCTGTTAAAGTTTTAGTTTAAATATTATAGGCTCTGTTAAAATTTTAGTTTGAATATTATAAGCACTGTTAAAGTTTTAGTTTAAATATTATAGGCTCTGTTAAAGTTTTAGTTTAAATATTATAGGCACTGTTAAAATTTTAGTTTAAATATTATAGGCACTGTTAAAGTTTTAATTTGAATATTATAGGCACTGTTAAAGTTTTAATTTGAATGTAAAACTTTCGTGTTATGTCACTAAGTTTCTCTCAAAGAAATATAATTTAGTTTAAATGGTTTATTGAAAATTTTACACATGCGTAAGTGTTATTCTGAGTATTGATTTGAACTCTCTTTGGGGAAAAAAAAATGTTATATAATTATCTGATACGACGTCATAAAGAAATATATATTTAAACAATCCATTACTGCACAAAAGCCAAATAAACTATATTTAGTTTTACATTCACATAAATTCAACAAACATGAAAAATAAATACACATTTATAAAAAAATATATATTAAAAAAACAACATCATATATTATTATAATATCATTAATAAAAAAAATGAAAAAGAAAAGTCAATTAAAAAAATAAAAACAGATGACATCTACTGATGGAACCATAGGTCAGGGTTTTTTTTTATTAGTGTGGCTGTTACATTAAAAAAGAAAGTGACAAAGTTCGTTGGATTTGAGTCCCTTGAGTTCATTTACGGGTGCAAGCGTGTCTCAACTAATTAAAATTATGCCTCCATGGAACCCGCAAGTGTGTATCCCGGGGGGTTGTCACCGTACAGAAACTGTTTCGCTGGATGGCTCAGGATCTCCATGTATTCCGGGGGAGGGTTGGATGGTACGTCGTAAGGGGGAGGAGACACTGCCGTGGTGTGCACGCGCGTCAAAGGCTCTTGGCCGTTTATCGTGGTTGACCTGTTCTGCTCGAAGGCCATTCCTGGGGTGCGTGATGAGGCGGAAAGGATTATAAACAGTGCTCCCCTGTTGCCATTTTGCGCACGACTTGTAATGTTTCCACCCCTTGTGATTTGCTGATTGAGTCCAGATGAAGTGTTCGTTTCGTGGACCGGTTGAGAGTACTCATTGGGTCCCTCGAAGTTCGCGAGGCGGCGTCGCTGTCTATTGCTGCTTGAGATTCGTCGTTTACAGCTGCGGACAACTACAATAATTCCGACAATTGTGGCAACTGCTCCTACGACAGCGAGAGCAATGTCTAATACCGGAACGCTACTGCTGCTGCTGCTGCTTGAACTGGAAGGACCTGTGGATAAACAAAACACTGGATATAACTAACTGGAAAAAAAAAGTATGCGTGTGAAAGTGATTTAAAACAGCTGAAATTTTTAAAAAAAGGGGGTTTTCATGTAATGGAATTCAGTTTGGACAATCGCATTAGATTGCAGAAAAGAAATTCTTTGGACATTCTGAAATTTCGTTTGGCTGATCACTTAACAGCTGTTAAGTACTCCTTTCTACGATAATGTCAGTCAGCGTAGTTGGTGTCAACCTAGATTCAAACATGTTTACAACATCATTTTACAAAATAATTCAAAAAAAAAAAAAAAAAAAAAAAAAAAAAAAAAAAAAGAAAAAAAAAAAAAAAAAAAAAAAAAAAAAAAAAAAAAAAAAAAAAAGAAAGTGTTGATGCTATAAATATATGTATGCGGAAGTCTAAAAATAGTAACATTATGTAATGCTATCTAACGTCTTCTGGTGTAAGAAATGACAAACCCTACTACTATCACCAATGTATTCGTCATGACGTAATTATGACAGCAACGTGCTCTTGGGTTATTTTAAACAGGTGTACATTAAATACGGCTTAGTAGTTAATATAGTTTTATGTTTACAAGTTGTATCTCTCAATTCATTATGCCCACGATACACTAATATAACTACATTGCACACGTTTTGAAAAGAAAGAGGAAAATGATACATTTCTTTTTTTTTTTCCCCCTCTCATAGGAATTCATAATGTTTTCATTTTCTTTAAAAGATGGATGTGTTGTGTAATTTGTAATTTACTCGGTAAAAATCCGATGGTTGAAAGGAGACATATACCCCCACCCCACCAACCCCCCCCCACCAACCCCCTCACCACCCCCAACCCCCCTAAATTTTGATGTATATGGACTTACAGCTCCCGACAGATTTGATTTGATCCGAACTGTTCAACACGCTCATCGCCACACAGGTGTACGCCTCCGACCGTCCGCAGGTTATGTTGTAGATGGTGTAGTCCAGGGCGCCGGGCACGTCGCTGACGTACAAGGCGACACCCTTGGCGTCTAGCAAGCTCAGCCTCGGCGTCGGCGTCCCCGCGGCGTTGCAGTTGAATTTGATGTTGTCCAGTTCGTTGTAGTGGACGGTGCCCGTCCTCTTGTTGGCGGTGAAGGTGGTGAGGACAGGTGCGTCTGGAATGAACGAGATCAGGTAAGTCTTAGTGGTAATTCGGGAGTGGTGTATTTAATGAAGCAGCATTGCCCCCCCCTGACTCCTTGGAAACCTAAAATACATTGTGGGAATGATCAAGGGTAAATTTGAAAAAAAAAAAAAAATTACATTTCATAAAATACCGGAAGGTTATAAAAAGATGGTCCATCATGCACCAACAATCAGCACTTCTATTGTAATTCTCGTACTTCCACTCTTAGCAATGCGCCTTATAAGATCACCAGATATAGCCCGACAAGCATTGGCGATAGCAATGCGTTAACTTCCCATCTACGAAAGTTACTTGACAAAACATGAACTAACTTAAGTAACGCACAATGGAGAATCCCAAAGTTGGCTACCCCATTTTCTCTCCATGATACGTCACAGCACAATTTTTATTTCACGCCCATGAACTCTATTAAATTTTATGATGCCCCAACCACTTTTTAACCGAATTTTTTTTTTTACACACCACTTAAAATGAGACGATTTCATTTTCTCCGAAAAGAAATATTTCGCGCAAAACGCAATGGCATTATATAAAAATGTTTATATCACCTAGCGTAGTTATCTGGAATTATATTTTGCGCGCTAGTGAACTCATTATTGAACAGTTCTTTCAAACATTTATAATTAATTGTTATACTCTCAATACCAAATACGCTGATTAGGAGACAGTCCACGAGTCACACCAGAAGCGTAATATGTATGAGACATATTACGCGCTTTCAAAAATGTTCCTTGCAATGATGATAATCCCACCCTCAGCACTTTACTGTAATAGATGTTTGTTTCAAAGAGAGTACTTTTCTAGGCATCTGTTCACCACATGCCACTGAAAATAATTTTCGAAGAAGAGAAAATGAACTTGATTTCAATTGGCGAATTCCCAGGGAAAAACATTTTTTTTTTTTTAAATTTTTAAAGAAGCTAATTCACCAAACATTCACAAGACACCGTGTCTAGAGAAATTTACTAGGTGGCTCGTCACAAACAGTACATAGTGAAGGACGATACCATTAATTAGACACAGCAATAAAGAACGCTACCAGAGCTGGGGGCTAGTTAAAAAATAACACGTTTATAAAGGCAAACTTAAGCAATACAAAATCAGATAACGTAAAATAAAACTATCAACTTAAAGTTTTTACAATAATGAACTGTTATAAAGTTGGAAAGGTGAACACGCACACACATTAAATATAATCTACAATAAGTCGGTATTTTAGTCTCGTTCTCGCCTCGTATCTATATCTGTCTCTGCCTGAATATGTATCTAAATCCGTCAATCTGAAGCTGTCCCGCTCCCTCTGTCGATGGCTTATTTATAGTATTTCATAAAGAATATTCCAGTACATTGTACATGAACCTAGGGTAAGATGACCAAATCTTGAATTGGAAAAAAAACGGGACAGCCCCAAGGATGGTTTGGGGGGAGGTTGCCCTCCAGCTAAAGAGGGGTCCTGGGGCCTTCGCCTGGAACTGTTTATTAAAATGTGCTCATTTTTAAACTACCTTAAGACATAGAAATGTTTTAAAATTAACCTTTACTTTCGTCATTTAATTTAAACTCCGGGCACATCAAAAACGAAAACAATAATTTTGCATTAAATACTAATTATTTATTTATACATATATTACTTGAAGTTACATTATAAATTAGGAAGTTTTAGTGATATGAAAATGTGTTTGGTTTTTGAAAAGGGAAATTTGGCGTCCCGATAGACTTTTCCGGGACAACGGGTATGATCTTTGAAAAACGGGACAATCCGTTTTTACGGGACGTTCGGTCACCTTAACCTAGGGCCCTCTCTTAAGTTCTATAAAGAGCGACGTGTGCGTTTTTTTTTTTTTCAAAAACAAGCAATCAAGGTCAAGGGAGACACATCATAATTAGGCCACACGTCGTGTCACAGAACTTGGGGATCACCCAGATCTGATGCACGAGATGCGCGAGTGGCATGACGTAAAACAAGACAAGCGTACGTACCGTTACACACACTGTTTTTAAGACCAAATGCACTCACCTGTCCAAAGTGGAATATTCCAGGTACTGCTGACTGTGTAGCCTTGGCGCTCCGTGATGTCAGGAGCGACGCTCAATACAAACGTCAAATTTGTGTTCGGCAGTGGTATTTCTGGGACTGGTACAATCAGGGTACAAGTGGTTTTGTGCAGGTCAGCGGCGTACTTGTGGTCGTACTTGACCTTTAAACCCTCAACCCGGAGACGAGCATTTTTCTGGTGGGGATTTAATGTTGTGTTTGTTTGTTGAAAGATTGAATTATTCTCATAGCGGTAATCGCATGATGATCATATTTAAGATCAGATTTAAGATAATTTCTTTCGTGCATATTCCTGGGGGGTTGGTTTGGAGGGGGGGAGATACACACCCAAAAACGTCTATAACAAACACCCAGAGAACAATATGCTTAACAATAAAACATTAACGTTTTAATGAAGACATAAGAACAGAGAAATTGGCTCCATTAGAATGAGCATTCTTCGTGATAGTGTGTAAAGTGTAAGTAAAGACATAAGAACAGAGAGTTTGGCTCCATTAGAATGAGCATTCTTCGTGATAGTGTGTAAAGTGTAAGTAAAGACATAAGAACAGAGAGTTTGGCTCCATTAGAATGAGCATTCTTCGTGATAGTGTGTAAAGTGTAAGTAAAGACATAAGAACAGAGAGTTTCGCTCCATTAGAATGAGCATTCTTCGTGACAGTGTGTAAAGTGTAAGCAAAGACATAAGAACAGAGAGTTTGGCTCCATTAGAATGAGCATTCTTTATGAGATGTGTAAAGTGTAAGTAAAGACATAAGAACAGAGAGTTTGGCTCCATTAGAATGAGCATTCTTCGTGACAGCGGGTAAAGTGTAAGCAAACACATAAGAACAGAGAGTTTGGCTCCATTAGAATGAGCATTCTTCATGAGATGTGTAAAGTGTAAGTAAAGACATAAGAACAGAGAGTTTGGCTCCATTAGAATGAGCATTCTTCATGACAGTGTGTAAAGTGTAAGCAAAGACATAAGAACAGAGAGTTTGGCTCCATTAGAATGAGCATTCTTCATGACAGTGTGTAAAGTGTAAGTAAAGACATAAGAACAGAGAGTTTGGCTCCATTAGAATGAGCATTCTTCATGATAGTGTGTAAAGTGTAAGCAAAGACATAAGAACAGAGAGTTTGGCTCCATTAGAATGAGCATTCTTCATGACAGCGTGTAAAGTGTAAGCAAAGACATAAGAACAGAGAGTTTGGCTCCATTAGAATGAGAATTCTTCATGACATTGTATAAAGTGTAAGCAAAGACATAAGAACAGAGAGTTTGGCTCCATTAGAATGAGCATTCTTCATGACACTGTGTAAAGTGTAAGTAAAGACATAAGAACAGAGAGTTTGGCTCCATTAGAATGAGCATTCTTCATGATAGTGTGTAAAGTGTAAGTAAAGACATAGGAAAAGAGAGTTTGGCTCCATTAGAGTGAACATTCTTCATGATGGAGAGTTAAGTTTAAATGAAGACACGAGCTCAACAGATTAACTTACATCCCAATTAGGCAAAGAATAACCAGATGTCCAGCAAGTGTGCGACCAAAATTATTTACTTGCTTTATGCAACCTTAAGTAGGTGAGTTAATCTGGTCCTTCAATGTTTAGGATTCTTGTGAATATTAAATTTTAACACACTTCGACAGTTCATGTATTAGGCAAACATTGAAACAAATTTAAATGACAGAAGTATTTCCTCTTTCTAGGGTTATTTTGAAATTTGTATTTATTTTCCCGTTAAAGGCACTCGCCATTGTACGCGACCTACATTATGAAGTTGAAATTTAGCTCTATCCGTTTGTTAAAAAACTTACTTCGTCTGCAAATTTGCATATTCCCCAAGGAATCACATATGCATGGCATGATACTTCAAAAAAACGTGCGTCTATGTTGAAAAGGGTCACCTCACAGGAAATTATTGTGGGTCTGACTGAAAAAAAAAATTGTATTACAGAATTAAGAATATTTTAAAACATGTTAAGTTACATACGATGTATGTTCACAGAAAAATTAAAAAACAAATGGAGTCTCTGCTTGGTAATCTGTGCTCGGCATTTTGGGATCTTAGTGTCGGGTTGATGGGGACGGAGTGTGGGAATCGGGGTGTAGGAGACGGAGTGTGGGAATCGGGGTGTAGGAGACGGAGTGTGGGAATCGGAGTGTAGGAGTTGAATATATCACCGCAAATAACTTTCTAGAGTCTGATATCTACAAGGTATAATCTCTTTAAACGTTAGACCTTGTGTCTATAACAAATCAAGAATAAGGAAACGGGTGACTGTGACTGGACTCACTCAGCTTGATTTACGTGATTTATAATACACCGAGGCAGTGGCGTAGGCGGCGCTTGATTTATTGCTGCACCATCATATGTCTTACTGAATTTTGGCGCACCAATTACTGTTTGCTAGGGTAGTCGAATACGTTTATAGGTAATCGATTGCGTAAGCCGCTTTCAAATGAATTAATGAATCTTGTAATGACAATAAGTTTAACGTCTTTTCAATCACGGTTAAGGCTATAGAATCAGTACACCTGTCTCATTTCACTCCTCATTTGATGTGCACCTGTCTCATTTCATGCCTCATTTGATGTGCACCCGTCTCATTGTACACTTGTCTTATTGTAAACTTGTCTCGATGCACACCTGTCTTAGTGCACACGTTTCTCATTGCTCACCTGCCTCAATGCACACCTGTCTCAATGCACACATGTCTCATTGTACACCTGCCTCATTGTACGCATGTCTAAGTGTACACCTTCTCAATGCACACCTGTCTCAGTGTACACAAGGTTCATTGTACACAAGTCGCAATGGACACATTCTCAATGCACACCTGGCTCAATGCACATCTGCCTCATTATACGTTTGTGTCCGTGTAGACTTATCTTAGTGTACACCTGTCTAAGTGTACATCTGTCTCATTGTATACCTGTCTCAGCGTACACTTGCATTGATGCCCAACATTAAATACAAGACAAAATCCAACATTACATATAAGAAAAAGTCTAACATAAATACAAGACAAAATCCAACATTAAATATAAGACAAATCTAACATTAAATACAAGACAAAATCCAACATTACATATAAGAAAAAGTCAATACATTAAATATATGACAAAATCCAACAGTAAATATCAAACTAGTTCTAACATTAAACACAAGACAAAGTCTAACATTAAATAAAAGACAAAATCCAACATTAAATACAAGACAAAGTCCCTCATTAAATACTTAAACAAAGTGCGCTCACCTATCCACAAAGAAGCTGTCACCTTGCTGCTGACAGTGTAGTTTTGGTAATTGGTGATGTTAGGTGCGGCACTCACCACAGCTGTCACGTTTGTGTTCCACTGTACGTCCGTTACAGGCACCATTAGAGTGCACGTGGTTTTGTACATATCATTTGCGTACACGTACTCGTGTTCGTACGAGACCGTGTAACTATCCAACGGCCCAGCTTTAGTTTCCTGTTTGGGGGTTGAAACAATTCAAACAACAATCATTTACCAATTTCTGCAACACTGAATATTAAGACGGATGGATTCAGTTTTGCTTTCTCGGGGGGTTGGAGTGGGGAGAAGACCCCCGCCCCCCTGTCATTAACAAGACTACAACCCAGAGGAGGAAAACAAAACAACAAATAACAAAGAAAATGTGTGCTCCAACTGGCTGTCGAAGAAGTGCTAATGCAGATGTACATTTTGGTCATTTAGTTGTCTGTCGATAAGGTGTGTCTGTCGCTAAGGTGTGTCTGTCGCTAAGGTGTGTCTGTCGCTAAGGTGTGTCTGTCGCTAAGGTGTGTCTGTCGCTAAGGTGTGTCTGTCGGATTCCACACAGACAGCGATTCCACAGTCTGTCACTAAAGTGTGTCTGTCGCTAAGGTGTGTCTGTCGCTAAGGTGTGTCTGTCGCTAAGGTGTGTCTGTCGCTAAGGTGTGTTTGTCGATGAGGTGTGTCTGTCGCTAAGGTGTGTTTCTTGATAAGGTGTGTCTGTTGATAAGGTGTGTCTATCGCTAAGGCGTGTCTGTCGCTAAGGTGTGTCTGTCGCTAAGGTGTGTCTGTCGCTAAGGTGTGTATGTCGTAGATGGATGAATATCAATATTGAAGGATATCACATTAAAGTATCGAATTTTTAGCGCATCAGCCTCTCCGGGGCTCTCGTGGACATGCCTGCAGCGGCATGCTGTTTCAAAAGCACGGCCACCGATGCCCTGGCTTTACCCCTGGTACAGCAATGCCGTGTAGGAGACCTGCGTCTGGAGACAAATGTCATTCATGGTATCTGCGTTAGAAGGAGAACAGCTGCATGGTACCAGCCCAATTACAGGCAACGGTCCTCAACACACACAGAGAGTCTCCTCAGATACTTTGACACACCTACTGCAACAACACACTACACTCACACACGACAACACTCCCACGCCGATCGCAGCCAACAAAACGGTGGGCCTGGTGAGCTGCGGTTGGACAGTTCACTTTTTTTCCTCAAGATATTAGATTAAATAAAACTTCAATCAAAAGCTGTTGTTTTGAAGAAAACTGAGAAAAGCTGAAGCAAATTTTGCCATTTGCTTTTTGAAACTGAAGAATCCTTGTTATTATCTTGTTGCTGTGCAAACTGTTGCATATTCATGAAAAGTAAAATAAGTTACTTTGAATTTCATTGAATTGAACTAATTTTAATTGGTTGTGTAATCTGCAATTATTCAAACAGTTCTATGTCTAAACGATTTGTTCTGTAACAAATTGGGTGTTATTTTGGAAAGCGTAATACATTTTTTTTCCCTCAAAGGCTCAAAGTTTCGTTTTGGCAAGTGACCTACTTTAGGAGAGAAAAAAATGGATTTGGAAATGTAGTTTTCGTTATGTGTAAAAAGATACATACACCATAATATGTGAAGCTGCAAAGGCCCCGTGGAAACACATATGTATGACACTGAATCTCCATAAAGCGCCCATCTAGGCCCAAACGAGGCGTGTCACAAACAGGCATCGTGGGTCTGGCTGCAAACAATTCGATAAAACAGGACCGTCGTTTAAAAATTTTAACGTGGTAATATTTACGTACATTAACGTACACGTTACAAAAATTAAGTCGTTGTGTTGTTTTTCTGTTGTGGATTCTATGTGTTGCTTTTTTTGCTTGATAGTCGGAGCCTGAGTGTAAAAAGGGGAGGAGGGATCCGGAGTGTGGTGGACGTTTTGTTTTGGAAGTATGTTTATAGAGTTGGGGGTCTTGGAATCTGAGCGAGTTGGCGTGTGTGGGGTTAAGTGTGTGATATTCAATGTGTGGGATTTTAGTGTGTGATATTCAATGTGTGCGCGTAAGTGTTTGATATTCAATGTGGGGGGTTAAGTGTGTCATATTCAATGTGTGGGATTAAGTGTGTGATATTCAATGTGTGGGGTTTAGTGTGTCATATTCAAAGTGTGGCATTAAGTGTGTGATATTCAATGTGTGGTATTAAGTGTGTGATATTCGATGTGTGGGATTAAGTGTGTGATATTCAATGTGTGGGATTTTTGTGTGTGATATTCAATGTGTGGGATTAAGTGTGTGATATTCAATGTGTGGGATTTTAGTGTGCGATATTCAATGTGTTGGATTTTAGTGTGCGATATTCAATGTGTGGGATTTTAGTGTGTGATATTCAATGTGTGGGATTTTAGTGTGTGATATTCAATGTGTGGGATTTTAGTGTGTGATATTCAATGTGTGGGATTGAGGGAGGTTCAGTTCTTTTTTTTTTTTTGAGATTGAATGTGATGCCTTAGAGTTTTGTTGGCTGCGATCGGCGTGGGAGTGTTGTCGTGTGTGAGTGTAGTGTTGTTGGAGTAGGTGTGCCAGAGTATCTGAAGAGACTCTCTGTGTGTGTTGAGGACCGTTGCCTGGGATTATGATGATTGCTAGTGAATATTTTGAAGTTTTTTGTGAAACACTGTTACTTTATCTTTGTAAAACATATTTACTGACTCAGTTTCCTTGCTTTTGACATGTTGACATTTATTAATATATTATTTAAAAAAAACACTTAATATATGTACATTCTAGACCCTTAAATACAAATTAAAATATGTATGTGTACTACGATGAATAATGAATTCAAGGAAAAAGTTGGGCTTAATATAAAAGCCTCTTTAAAAAAAAAATAATAATTGTTTATTAACTTCCCTATTGTGTGTTTCGGGCAAAACCTTCGGATGGCTAAATGAAACATTTACCGTCAACCTATCAAGCTGAGGGGGGGGGGGGGGGGTCGTCATTTCAGTTTTTTCAGGGAGGGGGAGGGAGGGACCCAAAATTTGGACGGCTTGTTAAGTTATATATTAATGTTGGCGCCACAGATCATAGCAATTTAAAGAAAATCTGCCAATTCAGGGGAGGGATGGGAAATTATCCACCTTGCCCTACCCAAATGACTTCCCCTGCTAAAACTTGGCACATAGAAATAACATTCCCCATAACTGTGCTAAATGAGATTTTTAAAAAAAATGAATGGCAATTTTGCAGCACATTTTTTGTTTGTTTTTCTATAATACTTGCGTATATCTGCGTTGTTAGCCGGTGGGACATTATAGAATGGATTTAAAATAGAATAATAAATTGCATGTGAGGATTTTTACGAAAAACTTTGGTTTTATGCTTAATTGGGCAATTAAATAAAGTAGATAATCAACATAGGCGCGATTGATAGTTTTAGTGATTGAATCGATTTGAATTTAAACATCATTGAATAAAAAATGGGGGGGGGGGTCCGGCATATTTACCAAAGATGATAAGGTGGCAAAATCCATACACCTGTGTCAGTGGATAGGTCCTGTCTAAGTTAGTGCACTGCACGGACGTCATGCTCCTGTTGACCGCGGCCACGTACAGGTACATGTCCTCAACAGGCCAGCCGGCCGCGTATGTACTTTGTTGAGAAAATGCCCTAAATCCGGGTCTGGTAACTGTGTTGATAGAAATTTTTATTAATGGAAAACTCCAGTTTTTTTGTTTTTTTGTATTTTAATTAAACAGTACAAATAACGACTAATGGCTGCTGTTATAACACAACGTTAAGACATAATTTGATGACATACTTTAGATGTATACAAATATCTAAATTGATATTTTCATTGAAATTAATACTGTGTTATAACTTTCCATATATATATATTATGTGTGAAAGTCTGGATGTGTAATATAAATATACATCTACGTATTGTGGCCATGTCTAACTATAAGAAAATCCTGGTATGATTTAAAAAAATATATATTTGCTGCTTTTTAGCCCATTTTAATAAAAGCGTTACCTACAGATCATAAAGGGTTGTATTGACATGGGGTGTGGGCATGCATGTTTGCAAAGTTGCAGGGCGAAGGGACATTAAGGACTTGGGTCAAAATTGAGGTGCAAGATGTGACGCAGACAAACAGACAGAATTGCAAGCTAAATAAAAGTCTGGTAAAGCGATGATTTAATTGAAACGAACAGATTGACATCAAAATATCAAATGAACATCATTCATTTTAAGCATTTGTTGCACAAGAGGAAAGATTCCAAGGCAAGACATTTAGTATCGTTTAAGACAAACACGTGCAATATATATATATATATATATATATTATGTATTTTAGCTATTTCTTTATAATAAGGAGGATACCCAAAAAGAAAATACTAAATGAGATAAAAACTCCACCATGTCCACGTGTTTGGTTTCAATGTTAAGCGTTTGTCTGATTGTGTTGATCAGATTTGTTACCCTGTTTTAATCACAGTTTGATTGTTACCCTGTTTTAATCACAGTTTGATTGTTACCCTGTTTTAATCACAGTTTGATACAAAATATGGAGCAACCCTAATGAAAATTAAACTCCTGTAATTTTTGTGGATTTTAAAACGCCACTGTTTCATCTTTGGGAGCAGGAAGTGGAAATAACAAACCAAAACTACAAACAGGATGTGTGAAAATCACCGATGCGTGTTATGTTGGTCTAGGAAGTAATCCCCTTTCAGCATTTGGGGGATACCCTTGGGGTGGGTGGGGGGTCTCCGCGGGTGGGTGGGGGGGCCTTTCACAAAACATAGTAAAATTCAAATTTAAATATTAATAGATATTTATCCTGTTTGATATCAATTTTTATGTTCCTTTTGAGGTTAATTCGTCATATTTAGATTAAATATAATTTTGAGTATTCTGTTACCTTTTTAACATTAGATTGATCAGGGTTTACAAACAAATTATTTTAAGAAACGTACATACAAAATGTTGAAAATAATTTCGCAATTTATATTGAACAAAATGAATCTGTTTATTGAAACAAAAAATTAAAAGTTCGCAGCTTTAGGAAAATAAAATAATACAAAAAAACTTAAAGTATTCGTCTAACTATGTTTTAAGTTTTAAAAAAAAGGAAAAAGTTCCATCCCTTTCAGTGTTGCGCTTCTCTTGATGACTAGCAAATCAGATTTTTTTAAAGATAAGAGTCCATTTAAAAAAACAAAACATAGATTTCCTTTTGTTCCCCTTCAAAGAGCTGTTTGGGTTGTCTGAAGGTGGTTTGGGTTGTCTGAAGACTGTGTGGGTTGTCTGAAGGCTGTGTGGGTTGTCTGAAGGTGGTTTTGGTTGTCTGAAGACTGTGTGGGTTGTCTGAAGGTGGTTTGGGTTGTCTGAAGGTGGTTTGGGTTGTCTGAAGACTGTGTGGGTTGTCTGAAGGTGGTTTGGGTTGTCTGAAGGTGGTTTGGGTTGTCTGAAGACTGTGTGGGTTGTCTGAAGGTGGTTTGGGTTGTCTGAAGACTGTGTGAGTTGTCTGAAGGTGGTTTGGGTTGTCTGAAGACTGTGTGGGTTGTCTGAAGGCTGTGTGGGTTGTCTGAATTCTTTTTGTAGCTCCATCTCAAAGGGTTTACGGACACATATGGAGTTATATAGAAAAGTAATTTTTTCGTTTAACTTTTATAGACTGCCATATTTTTTGTTCCAACATTTGCCAACCCTGATTCCTACAACGATTAGTATTTTAATGACTGTATAACTTTGTTGAATTGTTTGATTTTTTACAGTGAGTCTCAGGCAGGCTATACCAATCCCCAATGGCTTTGTTAGGTGCAGTGGTAGGTTTTATATTATTACCTATTTTTTTGTTATATTCTTCATATCTGGCCACCACGACACTAGACTCTTTGATTTTGATTGTCCATTCGTAGTTTTTCCAAGTTTGACCAATCTCAGATGTGAACCGGAAACTCTGAGGTTGTCCTTCTTCAGCTACCGTAACACAGTTGCTGTTTGTGTCCCCTGAATGATAATACAATAATGTATTTTTAGTACTGGAATATTTGAGTCGGTGAAATTATTTAGAATAAATATGGCATAAAAAGAATCTGGCGAAGAAAAACAACAACCCCCCCCCCCTCCCCCCCCCCCCCAACCCTGACCAGCTTGGCAAATTACGTGATCATAACCGGAACATCTCCGACTGGGTCTCGGGAACATTTAGCTACTTGAGGGTGTTACTTTTATTTTAGCTCCTAAAGATAACAATCCCTCCCCCCCCCCACCAACTCTGACCAGCTTGGCAAATTACGTGATCATAACCGGAACATCTCAGACTGGGTCTCGGGAACATTTAGCTACTTGAGGGTGTTACTTTTATTTTAGCATCTAAAGGTAACAAGTGGGGGGGGGGTTAAATTTATTGATGTAACGAAAAGGGGGTAAATTTGATGGCAACACCGCCTGGTGATAGTTTGATGAGGAGTTCGCAAATGTGTTATAAATATTTTGTGTAAACCTAATTTTTTTTTGGGTATTAATAAGTTGCTAGTTCGAGAGCCATCATACGAAGAGGCTAACGTAATGCCAGAATGACATCGAGAGTCAGCCATTTTTTAAAATTCAGATCCTATTCTTAACCCATCACAAAATCTAGTCATAACGCATTATTGTTATGACCATTGAAAGGAAGTAACCCATAGGTTGCCCTCCATTTGTCATGATTTAGCAAGTTTAATCGCGGTTCTCAAATTATATGCTTTCTAAAAAGTTATACTTAAAAATAAATCTTTTGGTGGGTAATGAAACTAAAAATAATTTGAATGAATGAATACGGCTCCATTAATTTTTTAAATTTTTTTTAAAACAAAAAAACTTTTTTTTTTCGGGTTCGGGGGGGGGATGTTAAGCTTTAACGTAAATTTAATCAATCTGACCGTCAGGCCTCTGACCATTGGCACGAATCTAGATGACGCCATCGGTGCCCTTGTCGGAAAATGCCTAAAATTGGCCTCAGTAGGTAAAATTGGGAAAGCGGCTCTTGCCTCAAATGAAGTATCTATTTCTAAACGGAATTCTTATTTGATTACTTGAAATTGATTGCTTGCCAAACGAGACTTATCTTTAAATTCAAATCTATAGCTTATCATGGGCTCCGTGTCTCTAAATTCAAATAGCTTATCATACGCTTTAAATCATCAAATTCTAAAAGCAATTTGACATTTCTTACCACTGAATTCCTGTTCATTATTTCCTTATTGCTGATTAACTTACCGTAAGCCGCGTGTAGACGCAGAGAAATGGTAAGCAGGAGAAGAGATTTCAGATGGTTCATTGTATCCACTACAGTCTAACATCGGTCCAAAGGTGATATCATGCACTGCGGTCTCAAACATCAACTTACCCCTTAACGAAGATACGCATGCTATACAACACGGGTAGGAAAACGAAAAAAAAAAAAAACCAGGGACAGCATTCTTCTAGGGGCGGTTCTAAAGTTTTTCAGATGTGTGACCTGAAATTTTTTTTTTTTTTTTTTTTTTTTCTTTTATTTAA